TTGTTAATTCTTCACCTACGGTTGCTCCAATCCACCACGATTCAAAATTGACGCATTTCTATATTTATTTTACTAATCGAAACTTGACTATCACTTGTAGTGTTGAGTGACCGAAGTGTTACAATTGCTCAACAACTCAAAACATATCTATCAAATATCAACATTTATCAATATGTTTTTCTTATTACAAATAATTTTTTCTTACTTACCGTAGAAAATGAACAACTCTTTGTACTTATAATTAAGGCTTTGTTTGACAAAGTTTTTCACAAAAATTAATAAAATTTATAATTGAAAAGTTGATAAAAATTGTGGATCCAACTCTATTTTAATAAAGTTTTGGGAAAAGTATATTTTGGAATAGTAATTTTTTTCGGAGAAAATGTGATTAAAAAAATAAGAAAAAGTTTCGAATTTATGTGTAATATTATTTTATTTAAAAATGTGTTGTTAAAACGAATTTTGAAAAATTTATTTTTGATTTAATGGAGCCCAAACAAGGGTATATGATGATTGGAATTAACAATCGGCTTTTGACCTTAACTTTTTAATAACTTTTAAGTTATCCAAACAAGTATTAAGATAAAGCACTACTCATTTAAGGGTCTTCAAGTAATTACAAATGGCAAATACCTCAAAACTTAACCATTAAGTCTCTCTCTCTCTCTCTCTCTCTCTCTCTCTCTTTTTAGGCGACTGGGCTCCAAATGAATCACCACATTATCTCACTACATTAACTGGGTTTTACCTTCCAGCAAACAAAATTCAGAATTTCCCTCAAACTGAAGCCATGAGTGAAGAAAATGAGATGTCAAGTTTTTCGATGTTACCGGAGGCGTGCATGTCATACATATTCTCATTTACGTCCCCAAAAGATGCTTGTATTGCATCCGCTGTTTCTATGGGATTCAAATCTGCTGCTGAATCTGATTTAGTGTGGGAACAGTTTCTTCCGTCGGATTATCAAGATATTATTGCAAGATCGGTTTCTCCGGTGGTTTATTCTTCCAAAAAGGAACTTTATTTTCATCTTTGTGATTCTCCTCTCCTCCTTGATGGTGGCAAACTGGTAATCCACTTATAATTGAACTTTCTTTATAGCTTTCTCACTTTTTTGGGATCCTTAATTATCATTTGCTTCTCTATATGTCTTTTTTTTAAAATCTTTAATCGAGGTAATATTTGTTTCTCAACGAGATCTCACAAATGGTTTTGAGTTTTAGACAATTCTGATTGTTCATTTGAGCTTGATGGGTTTGATAACATATTTGAGCTGGGATTTCATCATAAAAGGTTGATAAAGCTATTCATTATTTGTCGTGATCATCACTAGGTTAGGTTAAGTGACTGCGAGTCTTTGATTTTATTATCGATCATAAATCCACTATATAAGATACGATTTTGAACTAATTTATTGATTCATGAAAATAATTTTAAAGATTTCCCTACTTTGGTCCGTGTTAACAAACAATTTGAAATACATTGACTTTTTTAGAACGGATCCGAGTCAAGTAACAAAGGTTTGAAGCACTTCAGTTTATGCTATTGTCTGGCCAAGTTGATCCGCATAATTGTGACCATTGAAAATGTCCAGAGCCGGGTCCCATACGCGTGACTGCATACGGCAATTCAAAAATGGTTTGTGTGAATATACAATTTTGACCCATTTGCACGTACTCTCACTGTTGAGGCTGAAAGACAGATTTGCAGCCTTCTCAACATTTTGCAATGACTTTTCTCATAAAGCGGGCCCACCCAATTGCTCACAAGGGGGACCATTGCAAACGTAACACAGAAATGGAAATTGATATTGCATCGCCTTCTCTCACAAACCGGCCCCCACCCAATGCCCAAAACCGTACCCGTTCCATACATAAAACATAAACGGAAATTGATTGAACCCGAGAATAACTAATGATTAATATCATTACTTTAAAGGGTTTGTTAAGAGGAGAAGCACAAGTTGGTTAATATTTTTATACTTAGCCTCTGTTTGACAAATTCATAAATGGTTTATAGAGAGGAAGAATAAGAGAAATAGTAGTGGGTCTCATGAATAAGAATGAGTACCAGTTATGAATATATGATTAAAATTAATGTTTTTGTATCCAAATGGAGGCTTAGTTGATGTGGGATTTTAGACCTCAACTATATTGATTAATTTGTCCCTTCAATTCTTGTTTCTTTTGTCCCTTTTTGTTCGCTATCCTTTTCGTCTCATTTTTACATCTATTTTGAACCTTCGGACAGATTTTTAGACTGAGCAAGTCGAGTGGAAAAAAGTGTTTTATGTTGTGCGCAAGGGAACTCAGCATTATATGGGCAGATAGTCCACGGTACTGGAATTGGAAGACTCTTACAGAATCAAGGTTCATATCTCTTCTTCTATTTATATGTTACCATAATAGGAGTGTCATTACATTTGAGTTTTATTGTCTGTAGATTTGCTGAGGTAGCAGAACTATTGAGTGTTTGCTGGCTTGATATTCATGGCAAAATGCAAACTCGAATGTTGTCTTTGAAGACTAACTACGCCGCATATCTCGTGTTCAAAATCCTCGAAAATTCTGGTGGGCTCTACTCGCCCTCAAAGGCATCTGTCAAACTTGTTCAACAAAGCATGGTACAGGTTGAAGGTGAGAACAACACTGTGTATTTAAAACAACCACCGCTTGGACAAGGAAGTTGGATCGAAGTAGTTCCAAGTATCCATGGTCGGATGCCGAAAGAAAGAAGGGACACGTGGATGGAGATTGAATTGGGAGAATATTTCAATGACGAAGGAGATGAAGGTGATATTCAGATGCAACTTTTGGAGACTGAGCTGCTTCATTGGAAGCATGGCCTTATTATCGAAGGGATTGAGCTTCGGCCCAAGGAAGATTAGAGTGATCAATAAATTGTTATTTAGTTTTAAGTGAGACGGTTTAACAATATATTAGTCTTCACTTGTGCTTGTGTCTTAAGTCGTTGGAAATGCGAGAAATATGGTTGTGTGTATATGATGAATACCTCGCTCACGTTTGCAGTAGTTTTATGCCGTCTTAAATAAATGTGTTATGGTTTGTCCATTGTATTCTACCTATACTTTGTAATCAATCCTAAATCAATTATCCTTGACTATATGCAATTTTCGCGGTTGAAGTGAAACAAGCTCAAAATGATAACACAATCTCAATCGCACAGGTCTAAACATAAGTATTCAATCAAGAAACAGGGCACGCAACAGGGAATTAATGCTAAAAAATATATATATAAAAATAAAACTCCACATAGCAAAGTTTATATTAGGGGTGTAAGCGGTCCGATTTTACCGGTTTTTGACAAATTTTCAAACCAAATCGTTTAAAACGGTTTGAGAAAAACCCAAACCTAAACCAAACCATTTTGAACGGTTTGAAAAAAACTCAAACCTAAACCTAACGGTTTGGTCCGGTTTTAAACCGCCGGTTTCACCATATATTTTTTGCCCGTCTACTTTTATGTCATTAATTCATTGAATTTAATATATATTTATATCTCACTAGTAATAAATCTAAAACAAACTAAGCCCCTGTTTGAATCAAATTTTTGGGACAAAAAAATGAAAATTTGGATTGTTATTCTACAAGTCCAGCCGCATTTGTTAACCTGCTATTTTATGTGTGGGACCCAACCTCCTCTCCAATAGTCAATTTTCTCATTATGATGATATGAAAAATATGGCTCAAACAGATACTAAATATATTTACTAGAAATTTAAATATTAACTAAATCAAAGTGAAATCACAATAAACTAAAACACAGTTTTTTTTTTTCATTTTTGTTCACCTTTTTTAGGTTAATGACGATAAAATAACGTTACAATACAAGTCTACTAAACTAGATATAAGGTCAAAAAAATAATGATGTCCAACAAGATCTCGTGATTATTATATCTGAAAAAAAGATATTGATTAAACAAAGAGAATAACCAACTACAATAATAAAACAATTGTTTATAGTATCTAAACATAACAATTACACAAGTTTACGTTTGTATGACGTTATGAAACACATTTAATTTCAAATTCTTACCTTAGTTTGCTCCAAAAAATTATTGATCTGAAACTTTATTTGTAGCAAATATTATCACTGAAGGTCTAGAATCTCTTTGTCTTCGATTTGGTATAATAGACTTCAATTCGACTTTGAAGATGCGTGAAAAATCTGAATAGAAGTGTGTGGTGCCGGTGGTTCAAAACTGTGTTGGGTGTCGACTGGAGTTCATCTAAATTTTGAAGAGGAAAAAGGTTTTTGATAGATTATGTTAGTCTTAAAATTATTAAATATATATTAGGATTATTGGATGATGATGATGATGATAATAATAATAATAATATATCTGTATTAGAAAATTAGGAATTGACAAAAATACCCACAAATGACAAAACTATTGAATTTTACATATTTGGATGAATTTTCAAAAATTTTCATTTTTTTATTTTTATATATTTTTTCACCGGTCCGGTTTGGTTTTAAACCGTAATTAAAATTCTCAAACCTAAACCAAACCATTTTGACCGGTTTGGTTTGGGTCAAAATCATTTCGTTGACCGGGTCCACGTGGCACCAAACCGACGGTTTCTAAAATGCGGTTTCGGTTCGATTTTCCGATTTTGCGATTTTTGCTTACAGCCCTAGTTTATATAATTGTCAAAAATTTCAGGGAAAGTTTATGTAATTTGCTCAATACAAGAAGAAAGTCAGCTATGAGGATCATGTTCCCAATTCATGTCCCATTTACCACTCGTGACGAGGATTGCAATCCCTAAATGTTCAAGACCGTGGGGTCACAAATTGAAGGATTGGGACCCATCATCAAAAATTTCGAAGGTTCGAGATCCGACTGGAATTTTCATGTTATATCCCTGTTTGGAAGGGATTAAATTTCAGATTTTAATTTAAATCATAATTTATGATTTTTTAATATATTTTGTGGAACCCATGTTTTTTCAACCACAAATCTCAATAACTTTTATCAAAATTTACTAAAATCTAATTTTAATTCCCACCAATGGTGTTTGAGCCCCATTTTGATAAGAAAATATATTAAAAAAAATGGTAATTTTTTGTAAAATGTGGTTAAAAATTTTTAAAAAAATATTTGATTTATGTATAAAATTATTTTATGAGAGAATAAGATCGAAAATGAGTTTTTGAAAAAGTTGGGTCAAACATAGGCATAGTTAAATTTAACTTGGGACCCTTGTTTTCTCCAAACCACGGAATACACGTTTACAGTTTAGTACTTGATGAAAGGACTTTTATAATTATTTTTGGGTAGTGCTATTTTCATCCACACTTTTTATAAGTACATCTCACGCTAAGTTAATCCCTAATAAATTTTAAAAAAAAATACTATTAACGTCCACGTCATTTCCAATTTTGCCCTTATTAAATCCATTCATTTAAATATTATATATTCACGTGAATTTTATATATTCGTTCTACTTTAAATACATTCCTAACACTATAGATTCATACAATTTCTAAAACCATAAACTCTTTCAAAACAAATGAATGAAATAAGAACAAAACAAGGGATATTTAAAATGAGATAAAATAATTATAATTGGATTACAAACAATAATCGTTTCTAGCATTTATGATTAGCAAACTCATCATTATGTCCGAGAGTACTTTTTTTTTTTTTTGGCCCAAAGAAGGCAATTTTATCATTAAAGCAATCATACAAATGATAATTCTGCTGGATCATTCGTAGGTGAATGTCAAATTTCTATATAAGTAAACTTAGAATAATATTAAAACTTAAAAAAAAAAACATAAAACAAAAAACAAGTGTCAAAAGAAATTCCAGTTTCCCAAATCCCAATGTTCACCCCACCTGGTCTCCCTCCTACGTTCTTCTTCGGCAACAAGTTGCTGCCCGTTGTGTCACTGAACAAAGCCAAGACATCTTCTTCCTCCTCAAACACACACCCCACACCCACAAAAAATCAAAACCCACCACCCTACAGCCACGTCCAAACACAACCTAAAATCATCAGCCACCAGCCATCGTTTGATTTTGAAAAAAATGGAAAAGAAGAATGAGAAAATGAAGAAGAACAACAAAAGAACTGCAGGGATTTGTTGGTAAAACTCAGAACTGAACAGTAGCCGGTTGCCAATTATAATTTGCCGTCCGACAGAATATAATTTTGATGATTTGGGTAGAATTGAAGTAATTGATTCAACAAATGAGTGTGAATTTCATTTTTACTTATGTCTATTTAAGTAAATTTATATATGACTTAAACTATAGTAAAATTTTATTTTTAAAAGTGGATATACTTATAAAATTCGTGGATGTAAATAGAGCTACCCTTATTTTTTATTAATTAAAATTGAAAGTAAAACAATTAGTTATCTTAACAAGGATTTTGTCACTTATTCAGAAAAGACAACTATTTTTGTGACATAACAATAAAAAATTTTGTTCTACAAACGTAGTCGAGGCGTGGCTTCTCCGTCACTGCACAAATGGCAAATGCACACAAATCAAACCACCTTCAAATTCAATTATAGGAGTGCGTTTGATCACGAGTATGAAATTTGTATGGAACAAAATAAATTGTCTAGAACTTATTTTTATGGAAATTATTAATTGAATGTGTTTGATTGATTTAATTTTCAACTTAAAAATTATTATACTTATTTATTTTTTTATTGATGTGTAAATGAAAGAGAAATGTGGTAGATGAGAGAGAAAGAAAGAGTGAATTACCTAGAAAATAAAAACAATTTCTCCATAAAGAAAATATTTTCCTTATTTTTAATGAAAATATGGTCACGTGACCAAAAGTTTAAAACATTTTACATAAAAAAATTGTTAATCAAATATCCAAAAAATAAGAATTTGAATGGAAAAATGACATTTTTCATTAAAAATAATATCAATTAAACAAGCATTTAACTTCTCGTCACTGCACAAATGGCAAATGCACACAAATCATAACCGCCTTCAAATGCAACTATATATTATCACAAATCAATTTTGGTTTATCCAGAATTAATCTCAAATTCAAGGCATGAAGGAAGAGAATGAGATTTTGGGTTTCTCCGCATTACCAGAAGGATGTATATCATATATAATTTCATTCACTTCCCCGAAAGATGCATGTATAGCATCTGCTGTTTCTTTGGGATTCAAATCTGCTGCTGAATCTGATACAGTGTGGGAGCGGTTTCTTCCGCCGGATTATCAAGATATTATTGCAAAATCGGTTTCTCCGGTGATTTGTTGTTCCAAAAAGGAACTTTATTTTCATCTTTGTGATTCTACTCTCCTCCTTGACGGCGGCAAACTGGTAATTCATTTACAATTGAACTCTCTTTTTAGCTTTTGGCATTTTTGGGAGCCATAGATGATCATTTGTTTCTCTGTTTACTGTAATTGGATTTTCTTTTACTTTGAACTTGTTAATCTCCTTGAAGGCGGCAAACTGGTAATTCATTCATAATTGAACTTTCTTTTTAGCTTTTAGGCATTTTTGGGAGCCATAAACGATCATTTGTTTCTCTGTTTACTGTAATTGGATTTTCTTTTACTTTGAACTTGTTAATTTGTGCTTGAAATCAGTATGTTAGGGGTTAAGGAGAGGGTATTGTAATTTTATCTTTTGTCCTGATGTATGACCTCGTAAACCCTGTTCTGCCCAGCTCAGTATATTTTTGTAAATAGCTTTTTGCCGCATCAGTTTATGTTGTAGAAATCTGTTGTAGGCCTGGAGTTATAATTCTAGGGGTACTTTTCTTGAAGGGGATTCTTTGTGTATACGATGAATTTCTTGTTGTGTTTGCAGTAGTTTGTGTATTATCCCTGTCCTCATAATCAAACATCTCCTTTGATAAGTATGTGCTAGTTTGTCCGGTTTCACTGTCGACCAAAAGAGAGGCCGAGCCAAACATCCTTTTCCGTTCTTTCACTCCTACATATGCAATCCAGTGATCTCCATTTTCCGTTCCCACTGATACGATCAAATTTCCAGAGACAAGGTAACATGCATGAACATCAAACTTTAGGCGTGTGCTCATATTTGAACTTAAATATACAAGAGGACATCAATTCTCTTTCCATGTACAGAATCAGGTTCAAAATTAAACATTTTGCTTTTAAACACTTACAATATATTGGTAGAGATCGATCTTTGTTTTGTAGGGTTTGTTGCACAATCAACAAACTGAAATCATGAACTCAACCTCAGTTGAGCAGTCTGGACTGAGTTTGAGTTGCGTAAAAAGAAATGAACTCATGACTGGTCGGTTGTTATTGACTGGGGTAGAGTTAGTTAGTGGCTGGACGTGCTCAAATCAAATCCAAATGGAAACTGTTGATTAATTTGATTGTGTTACTTTTCATAGTATTGGAGTTAAGTTGGAAAATTTTCTTTCCGTTTTAATAGAGGTTTTAAGTGTATAAATAGAAGTAGAATGTTATTGTCATATTTGATTGATTGAAATTTCACCAATTCTCTTCTCATTCCCTCTCCTCTCCATCTCCCTTCTGCATCTACACGTCTGTTAACGAAAAGTTTTGAACAGAGTCTCAGATTGAGCAAGCCAAGTGGAAAGAAGTGTTATATGTTGTGTGCGAGAAAACTTTACATTGCATGGGGAGATAATCCAATGTACTGGAATTGGAAGACCCAGAGAGAATCGAGGTTTATATCTCGCACTTTATTTATTATCCATCTTATATATTACATCTTTAAGCACTTGAACATACTGGTTGAGGAGTAGGAAAACAATTTTGTATGAAAATTAAATATTGTTATAGCACTTTTGATTTCGACTTTGCACTAAAATTACAACGCCGTCTGATTGTAGAACATTGACAATTGAGTTATGGTTGTGTAATATAGGCTACCTACATGATCTATTATGGATTTGTTACTTAAAAATACTTTGCAGCAATGTCATTACATAGACTTTGTTGTGTAGGTTTGCTGAGGTAGCAGAACTATTGATTGTTTGCTGGCTTGAAATTTGTGGAAAAATGCAAACTCGAATGCTGTCTTTGAAGACTAATTATGCAGCATATCTCATATTCAAAACCCATCAGAATTCTTACGGGCTCGACTATTCCTCCAAGGCATCTGTCAAACTTGTTCAACAAATCATAGCCGAGGTCGAAGGCGAGAACAACATAGTATATCTAAAACAACCAACTCGTAGACATGGAAGGTTGAGACAATTGGGCGTAAAAAAAATTGATGGTTGGCTTGCGAAAGAAAGAAGGGATGGGTGGATGGAGATTGAATTGGGAGAATATTTCAATGATAAAGGAGATGAAGGTGATATTCAGATGCAACTCCTGGAGATCGAGAAGCTTCATTGGAAGGGTGGCCTTATAATTGAAGGTATTGAGCTTCGCCCCAAGGAGGGATAGAACGAGGAGATCAAGTCTCACTGTTACTTTGTTATGAAAAATTTACATGCTCATCGTATTTGATAAGAAAATGATCTGATTAGAAGGGGCTTGTTATATAAATTTATTTAGGGGTTTGGTTAAGAAAGTTTTTAATAAAAGTTTTAGGAGATTTGTATAAAAGTGGATGAAATGTATGGTTGAAAAGTTGAATAGAAGCTGTGGGTCACGTGAAATGTATGATTAAAATATTGTTAAATTTGAACTCAATTTTTTAAGCTGTTCAAAACAAGCTGAAAATTGATGTTCTCTTTTATTGTTTATGTGATACCTATTGGATGGTATTTATCTATCGAGTAAATTTATTTGTATTCGCAATATTTGAAAAAAAAAATGATTTTTGTTTTTCAATAAGTTGATTGTATTATTGTGAGCTTACATTTGTTTCTCGATCTTTTTGATATTATAAATTGAGTGTTTAAGTTGCTAAGCACCTAAAGATTTGATCTATAATTCGCTCTAAAATTTATGGTCCATTATTGGTAAATAAAGAACAATATATTTGATAAATAGTCTTAATTTTATTGTAGTTTATCTTAACTTTTGTAATAAGATCGAGAGTATATTTTGAAGCGATTATGAAAATATGCAAAATTCACTTGATTATCTTAATGCTTTTTTAATTGTCTCGTTATGTATTGGCCTTGAAGGTCGAGAAGGAAATGTGCCAAATTGCTATCGGCATTGAAAGCTACATGAAAGAAATTGGCACGACCAAATAAGAGGCGCTCAATAATTTTTTTGAAATTGCTACAGAATCATGGGAGGACATTAACAAAGAGAGTCCCAGATCAACTTCCTCTTCAAGAGAAAATTAAATGAGAATTCTCAGTTTTGAAGGTAGTATAGATGTCACTTATAGAAAAAATGAAGATGAGATACACTCGACCAGAAAAATGTTCTAAAACCTCACATCATTGCTTTCATTCTTTGTTTATAAATCTCATTGAGGTTTAAATGTACATTGGGGTAAAGTTGGTTTCAAGTTGATGTTAGTAAATGTTCGCTAAAAGTGCAAACCATAAGTACACAGGTCACTTACAAGTAATACAATGGACTTTTTGAGTTCGAGTCGATCCCCCGAAAAGTGTTTCTTCCAATTACATGAGAGTTGATTCAAATTATCGATAGACACACTGTTGACACACAAAAAGTTTAGCCCAAATTGAATAGCCCAAGGAATGAAGCCCAACTAGAGGACCCCCAAATCAAATAGCCCAAAGAACGGCCCAATCAGGCAATTCAGGATAAAGGCCCAAATAGGGAATCCCATGAACGCGGTAATACCATCGTCCAAGCTTGAAAGTTGCCCAAGATTTGAGCGAATGGATTACCATGCAGTCGCCAAGAGCTGTAACCCTGTTCTCGCCCAATCCTTCGAGTCGCCCAGGATCTTAGCAAACATAAAATGTTATGGTTATCCAAAAGGGCGGTTAATGAAGCAGTTATTGAATAGCCCTATCACGTTCCACGATTCAAGGAATTCAATTGAAGACGGTTGAACGATCAAAAGTAATGGCAGCAGTTAGAGAAAGCAGTTCCATGACAAGTTGGCCACCATGAAGAAAGTGGACAGTTATAGAGCGATCAAGCAGTTTGTAAACGGTTGATCACGAAGAGATCATCCAGGGAGCATAAAAGGAAGAAAATACATAGAGCAAAAGACCCCGAATCAAACACTCTCAAACAGAGAATATGTAACTTTCAATTTTTTAGTTTAGATTTAAACATTTCTTTTCAGTAACTCGTGTGCTTGCGCCCCTTGGAGGCATTCTATTTTATTTTCCAATTGTAAAGTCATCACTAATAAAAACACCCATTTTTGGGACTTTGTTTCAAGAGGTTTGTCCCTTACACAATCGTCTGATCCCTTTTTAATTGTTAATGATTAACCTGCGCGAAACAGTTTGACAATCCCAGTGGGACAGTGGTGTTCAGTGTTGAAGATACAAAAGGTGAAACAATATGCCTCAGAGATCCGATAAGGAAGCAGCAAGTCAGGGAGGAGTCCCGTCTGTGATCGAGCGATATGAGGAGCAGCATAACTCTCCACGAACATATAGACAGAATCAGAGCAGTAATAGTCGTTACGAATCAATGACAGAGTTGAGTTCTCGAACTATGCGTGCACTACTTGGAGAACTCACACAAGATGTCGTTGAACAGGTAAATCTTCGAAATATTCATAATATGGAAAGATTTACCCAAAATGGGAATGCACATTATGACAACATGGTGTTGGCCAAACAACTGAATACTTTGAACGAAATAATGAATAAGTTAGTAGGCCAAATTTGTCAACCAGTTATGCCTCTTGCAAACTACTTTCAAACTAGGACAATTGTGGGACATAATCCCCTAGTCCTAAATCCAAATCAAGGGGTAGAACCACCTTTCGGTCCCTCTACTTCAAACCAGGGGGATGGTGTAATGCCAAATCAGAATAATAGTAGTTGTGCGCCTAACTTGGGGGTAATCCAAATGTAAGAGATAATGTCCTAAATAATGGGCAAAATACCCCACGTGTTAATGAGGGAATAAATGTTCAGGCTAATGGTAACAATGGCTCAAATCATGGTAACTTTGTTGCCAATCAAAGACCAAACATTAGGTCTCAAACAAATCAACCAGTTAACCAACCTGTAGGAATTCCATATGACCCCAACGTTATGTTGAGGAATCAAATTATGGAAATCGTACAGGATCAGATGGCTTTTGGGGTACGTCCTGTCATTAAGCCGACTTACACAAAACCATATCCTGATTGGGTAGACCAAGCATATCCATGGCCTAGAAGGTATAAAGTGCCAGAATTCTCACTGTTTACCGATTTAGGGGAGGTGCTACTCTAGAAAACATAAGGCGATTCACACTGCAAAGTGGTGACATAACTGATTATCATAAAATGAGGCTTTTTCCTAGTTCGTTAACAGGAGTAGCTTTCTCCTGGTTCATCAATTTGCCAGCGAACTCTGTTCAAACATGGCAACAATTGGAACAATTATTCCACGCTCAGTTTTATAAGATTGAGTCTGAAATTATTTTGGCCGATTTGACGAATCTACGTCAAATGCTAAACGAATGGGCAGAAGGTTTCCTCCAAAGGTTCAAGACAACAAGAAGTAAATGTTTTGTACCTTTGCCCGAAAAAGAGTTTTTCAAAATCGCTCAAGATTGTTTGAGCTTTGATTTGAAAAAGAAATTTCAAGATAAGGAATTTCCTGACATTTTTCAGTTGAGCACGAACGTGATTAGGTATGAACGATTGATAAGAGAAGAAGAGCAGATAAAAAATTCTAGCAAGGAGACTTATTATAGAGACCCAAATTTTGATATTCATACCATCAATAATGAGGCATACGATCAGACCGAAATGTGTTTGGCCGAATTAGTCAAAGGAGACACGTATACTTGTCCTATAATGGCTAAGCATAGACCATCAGGTAAGGATGAGCCCTATGAAAGATGAAAACATAAAAGTTAGAACGATCTCGTTCGATGTAACCAAAGCTAGTCTTATAATTGATAAATTATATAAGGATAAGTAGATAAAGCTGAGCAATGAGCATAAATTGCTAAGCCCTGAACAAATTAAGGGTAAAAAATATTGTAAGTGGCATAATGCATGGTCACATTTGACTAACAATTGCTTGGTTTTTCGTCATGTATTACAGGATGCCATTGAATCATGACGAATTACGTTCGATGATAAGAAGAAGATAACAGTGGATGAAAATCCTTTTCCACAGCCACTTGGAGTGAATATGGTGACGTCTGGTTTCAAAAACAAGTTGTCAAAATTCAAGTTGGTTATAGATGATGGAAAAGAAGATCCTGGACCACATCCTAGTGTCTTTGAGCATATTAAAAAGGAGGAGCCAAAAAAGGATGAAGACGTCTTGTGTGCAAGATGTAAAAAAGAAGTGAGTAGGAATACAGAGAAACCAGTGATATGGCAGCATCCCCATCGCCCTACTTTCTCCCCAAACACTCAGCCTGGTAGAGGGTAAAGTACATCGTTCTATAAGGGACCGCCTTTTGAGAGGCAGTTCAGGCCAGTAAATAATGGGAGAACATTCAGGCTGCAACCTCGCCAACCAAATGTATGGCATTCGCTCCAGTATAATGCAGGAAAGGCGATACCCTTTAACGAGATGACTAGAACCCAACAAAGGCGTTTTCGACGAAATTATGGACGAATGATGAGGCAACAACAGGGAGTGCCACGTCCTAAGGTGCCTAAACTACTCGAGATAGCCAATCAAAATGTTCTCAAAGATAGTGAAGAGACTGGTACGGATGAATCAATGAAATAGTTACCAGAAACTTCTTCTAGGAGATCGAAGTTTGATTGAGACAGAAGGGATGGAGAAGATCCAAATCAGCCCCTTACTATTCAGTTCGGTACGTTACCTCCTGTCGTGGCTAATAACTATTTACTAGCCAATGAGTTCAAGAATAAAGAGAAAGAAGAAGAAGAAAGAGAGGATAACGAAGGAAAAGCATGTGTGCTGAAATATGAAGAAGGCCAGACTTCTAGAGAGGCCTACAATGGTGAGAAAGATGATGGTATGACAGACATTGAAGAGAAAATCGATCTAGAAGCAGAAAGAAGAAGAAGAGGAGTATCGTACAATACTCTGTTGAAGCAACTACATCGAGAGGGAGTTCGTGAAGTAGACTTATTGGGAGAACCATCTGGACGTTCTTTCGATTTTTACGTACTGTACGGGATGCCCAAAAGGAAGAAAAGAGTGCCTCGCTCTGAAAAGTATGGATCACCTCCAAGAATAATGTCTCCTCCTACAAGTTGGGTAACTGAAGATGAAGCATTAGAAAACAGTAAAAAGGAAATTCAGGAGACAGAGGCTCAATGCGATATGCTGCAAGTTGACTTATCACAAACGGATAACTCGACAGAGGACAAGCAGGAAGTAGAAATAGAGGCTGTCAAAAAGGTTATTTTTAAGCGGCCAGCCATGAAATTGACTAAACACTTGAGGCCATTATACGTTAAAACTCTAGTTAACGGCATACCTGTGGCAAAAGTGCTTGTCGATAATGGAGCAGCTATAAACACCATTCCATCTAGGATGATGATGAAATTTGCAAAAACAGAAGGGGATATGATTCCAACAGAAGTCATCCTTACAAGTTTCAATGGAGGAGCAACTGCAGCTAAGGGAGTTATGCTATTGGACATAACTATAGGGACAACTACTAGGACCACAGTCTTTTTTGTAATAGATAGTCCTACTAGTTACAATGTGTTACTAGGAAGAGATTGGGTACACGGAAGTC